GCCCCTGCCCCCAGGAAATTCCAATCCCTTCTGTTGGGGGAGTATGGGCATTTTCTGGATATATAATATTTATTTACTAATCACATTCAATACCGTAAATTACTAAATGCTAGTACCTACCTTTGATGGATTTACAGAAAATACATTGGTCTTGATAGCAGGCTTGAGAATGGTTGTGCTCACAACAGTGTTTTGTAAGCCTTCAGAGGAACTGAGAGACACTGTGTTACTTGTTTCTAGAGTTGAAGGTGAGACAAAGCTGCTGTCTGCTATTTTAGATTGGACTGACATCTGACTGTTTTGAATTTTGACTGAAGCCAAACTTGCTGTTGGTGTTTTCAATGATGACAATGATAACGATGGTGATGGCGATGGCAATATTGAAGATCGTGAAGATGGCAAGAATAATGCCACTGATGTTAATACATGCAGTGTTGATACTGTTGGCACCAGTGATGAAATTGTACTAGATGGGTAGGCAGATTCCTGCGCAACACTTTGGTTTACGTAGTTATCTGAAGTTATTAATGACAGAAAAAAAAAGATGAAGTTCAAGACCTAATCACTGACAGGCAATCTCAGTTTAAAAAATATACAGTTGAAGAAGAAATAAGAAAGCCTGCAGCATTGCAGGTACAATGTATATGTTGTAGGTCAAAATAAAATTCAGGTTAAAATGATTTTAACCCAGTTTGATTCTCAATTTCCTTTGTCTTCTAACCCTAATTATTCATGATCCATGAATAATTAGGCTAAAGAGACAAAGGAATTTCATTTTAACCTGAATTTCATGTAGACCTACAACATATATATTTATAGAAATGTATTTTGAGGCTAGGGAGTTCAGAGCAAACAACTGGAAGGGAGAACACAGATTGAACTGAAATCTAATATCACAGTCATATATATAATTATACATGTTTTATCCATTGCAATTTTTACGTTTTTATTACCTTTTTTGCCACACCTTCTAAGATTACAATGAAAAAGTATTAGAAAAAATGGCAAGGAGGTCTTTAAGTGCTAAAAAATAAATGAGATGGCATACTCTCAGTGAGAGGTGTAGCACCACAGTGTCCTCAATCATGCATGGTAATTATTGTTTTAAACAAGAAGTAACATGAAAACATCAATAAAATCTACTGCAGTCAAATAAGAAGTATTCATCTAAAAATTGGTAAAAAAGGAAAGGAATTAAATGGTTGTCACTGGCTAAAAATATGGTTATCGGACGTTTCGGCCACTACTGTTGCCTTCTTCAGCAAAAGATGGAAAATGCAAATGTTAAACGGCGTCCTGCCAGAATATATAATAGATGTGTGATAAAACTAAATGAGCAATAGTCTCTAGAGTATTCTTGATGAGTGTAAAAATTC